GCATAGAGTTAAATGGCTTTCTGCAAATTACAGATGGATCTTGTATGTTATCTTCCCCCATAATTTTAATTCTCCTTATCTTTGTTTGCAATTTTAAGCTCTACAGCATTTCACCTCACTCCTTAAGTTGGACTTTACTAGCAACTGTACTTTGATCCTCTTAAAATCGAAGTGATGATTTCCCTTTCCATGTAATATTCAATTTGAAAGGATTATGAGCAAAAATTGTTTTTGCTTCTGCTCAATCTTGCTTGTTCCTATTCACAGTTTGCAGAGTTTTATGACTGTCTGATGCTGATGCTACTGAAGGCACCAATACAAGCCTATAAGCCAGCAGTCAAATTTTAAGTGAATGAAGCAAAAAAATGGAATGACGAATTTACAAGAATTTTTATTTTTATAGATATATATGGATTTAGTTGCCACTTCTCTTGATAGTTTCCTAATTACTAATTATTTACTTAGTGCTCACACTTCCCAAGCTTATTATATTTAGGCATTTTCGCATTACTGATGCTAGATACCCAATGGTTACAGGTATTTCTTTGTTGTCCTTGAACTGAACATTTTAGGTTTTTTTGCAAACATTGAAGCCCTGAAATCGTTGTCACGGCAAAACGATTTATTAATTATATCAATATTTTGATATCTAATCTGCCGTTGGAGTCTAAGACCAGAATCATCTGTTGAACTCATACATTCTTTTGGAGCATCGGTTAATTTGGCTAGATTGTTAGCAAGCAGCAATGTGCAATGAGTGAATTGTTGGGACATATTCTCTATGTATGGTTTTGATAGCTTAATGAAATTGAATCGAATATATATATAATATTTCACTGATCTGTTTTATTCAACCAAAAATCTTGTGACTGGTGCTTAGAACATTAATTACTGTTGCTTATCAAGGTCTCCTATAAAAGCACACTTAAAAAGAAGTTCCTACACCAAAGTAAGCTTTCTGAAGGAACGCTAAGTTTTTGAAGACAATGGGGAGTATATGAGTTTTGTGGAATGTTTAGCTTCACGAAACTCCTTATGTGCTGTTGCAGAAATTCTTCCATTAATTCTTCGATCATCTGATCTGCCTTCTTGTAAAGATCTCTTCTCTCTTGGGTATTCCACAAGAGACAGTATAATGATATTGAGTTGAAGATTATTTCATTTCTTCGTTGCTAGAATTTCATAAAACAACTGCAACCTGACAAAGTGTTTCCGTTCTTTTACTAGATAATGATTATTTACTTTCGTGAAACAAATGGAGATCAATGCCATTCAAAGTCATTTCACATACTAACATCAGTTGGACTGTTTTCCAATTTGTAAAATCATCAACTGCAAAATATATGAGAAATCTTGGATCATCTCAATCCTCAATATGTTTGTTTGGTAAAAAGTAAGCAACTCTAGACTCGGAAAAGTATCACTACTAGATAGTTACTGTTGATTCGATATTACAGTTATGATGAACACCACGTTGTCAGCATCTCTTACCATATTGTGCCTACAATCTATCGGATTTTATTTATATCTGTCATTTAAGATGTTGATAGCATTGTGCCTGATGCTAGTGCCTTCCCTGTAGGCTGCGGCTCTTCACCATTGTTCCTCCGAAGCTGAAAGGGGACAGCTGAACAAATACAGTTGCTAGATTTATAGCAAGACCTTCGGTTGTCATTCATCGAAAATAACTTTCAGCATCCAAATTCTTGTGAGGTATGTGGTCCGACATTTAATTTATTCCTATTTCAGAAGAAAAAAGAAACTTAATTCCTTGCATGCTAAGAGATTTGCGGTCCACTGTCTTAATTAGTAGTTCTGGCAAGTCTTGTTCCAGCACATTGGGTACAAAATGTGTCCATCATAATCGGTTGGCTGCTTCAAACTAAAACCTCATTTACGGTCATGATTGATAGAAAGTACACCTGCTAATGATCTTAATCATTAGATCTGCTTCTGTGGTCACTTCTACCTCATCTGCACAATGAATAATCGGCTATGTAACTCCCTTTTTACATTACACAGAGCATGGAGAAATTCTTTGTATAGCTCAAGTCTTGGACTCTACATTTGAGAGCTTCCTTTACTGGAAGCAGTAAGGCAGACGCATGACCCAATTTGGAAGAAGCATGACAAGAATGAAGGATGTGAAGAACATGAATTCATGTCTTCCGAAATTTTCAGGACCAAAGAGGGTCAGCCTGTCCCCCTAACCCTAACCAATGCGTGTTGTTGTAACAGTAAAAATATGTGGAAATGTGGAGAAAGGATCAAAGAGGAAGAACTGCCTCTGCGGAGGAAAGTCATTCATTTCCTCTAGTGCTGGGGCCATGGTTTGCCGGTGTTGCCTAAGTCTTCTGTCGTAAGGCACTTGAGTGTAGGGGACCTCAACCCATCCACCGATCAATGTCATCTTCTTCCATCGAGGCGCCTTCGTCATGCAATGCATCCTGCCGGACCATCTCGATCGCAGTTTCATGGACATATTTTCTGGATCCTCAGAGAGGGTAGGAGAGAAGATGAACACAAGGTCAAAGGAATAGTGACAGCAAATATTATCTACCGAGAGAAAGTATTAATGCGAAATGTGAGTGGTCATCAGGACAGTCTTTTTTTTTCTGCGTCTCTTTCGAGCTAAAGTTTGCATTAACAGTGACGGATCGACGGATGTCGGGACTGCCGATAATGGAGTTAATCTGTCTCTTTCAGGCGGCCAGGTGGAGCCACGGTGGTTGGATTCCGGCTGGATACGTTCACGCAGGACGGGATAACGTGAGAAAGAGATGGGATCGAAGTGTACAAAGACGAGGAACATGACAAAGCTACTCCAAATGGGCGATGCATGAACGACAAGCGAGTGGATGAGCATTTGATCGATGGCGACGAATAGAGTGGACAAACAATTCACATGCCAACACGTCGGCGACAACGACGGCGGCTCCAGCCGCGAAGTGGTCCTCGAGAGGCATGCTGAGACACTCTCGAGGTTGTTCTCTGCATGAAAGAAAGACCAACGAAGCATCGGCACGGAGAAATGACGGTCTTCTTCTCTTTGCGAGGCACACATGACCACATCCGAGGAATGAACACGATCGAACAGCCTTCTTCTTCAGTTTGGTTCTGTGCCGAAACAGGGGAGATTTCACAGTGCTTTTAACTCTCTCTTCATTTGCTCCACGAACAATCTGTGGACCATGAAGCCCACTGAACAGGAAGGACCACATAGAAACACCATTACCTGTAGTTTAACTCTCGCTATGCAGCAGCATATCAACAGGACAATGTGATACAACGAAGAACGGTTTCCTGCTTCATTAATATCTATCTCCAATCCAAGATTTAAATGATGCAGAAACATGTTCTTGAAGTTTCGAGGAGCCACGTGATGTCTCTTGACGTGGAGATGGAGGTCGAGCGAAGAGGGACCGGCAGATGGGGAAATGAGATCGATCGATCCACCGGGAGGAGGGAAGGAAACATGTCAGAATGGACAGCCACTTATGGATGTACTTGCAGGCAAGAGAATCCTGTTTGTGCTGTTGCCCAATCATCGGTGGGCCCTCGCAGTAAATGCGGTGGGGGCCAACAAAACAATTAGTTCGTATTCTTTCTTTTCTTTGCCCTATTAATCGCAGCTCTTGAAATGGACTCTCTCTCTCTCTCTCTCTCTCTATCTATCTCTGTGAGGCACCGACAGCGAGGGGAGGGAGTGAACGTGAACGCCCAAAGCTGGTCTCTCTCTCTTCTTGGCCTCAAGAACTCGCCATGTCTTGGGGTGGTCCCTCGGAGAGGGAACGCTCCCACGTGCCGGGCCCTCGACTCGGGCAATAGGAGGTGGACACGTCGTCGGGCGAGACGTCAACCCCACGTGCAGTTCCCGTGCCGGATCCGGCAGCAAAGAAAGGGTGAGCTGGTGGCGGGCTGGTCCCACCCCGGTGCGGCCCACGGCACCGGTGCTCACTCACAGCGCCTTTCTCGGCCCCACCACGGTGATAGCGGGACCAGTGGTCTCGAATCCTGATCGACTTCCTGGTGCCGTCGATACGGGCCCGGAATGGGCCTTACGCTCTTCCAGGTGGTACCACCTCTTTCATGGTGTTCTTTCCTCCCGACGTAAAAAAATGTATGCACAGCACAAATAATTCTCGGAATATAATAAAACATTTAGGAATTGTATGCACTGTGGGAGCACATCTTTGTTTCTACTGTTGGATCATTCATTCTTTATCAGCATATATAAATTCATAATGACAGCGGTTAAGAGTGTAGCAGTAGTTAATGTAAGCGGAAGATGAAGTCAACCGGTTCACCGGAGGCCACGATCGAGGTCACATCGAAGCGGGAGACAGTTTATGATCGACATCACATCACGATTTGGTGAATCGAGGCCCGTCACGTCAACCATGAATTGATCTCTGGGAGGTGACTCGCGGCCTGCTGTAGTGCTGTAGTTCAAACATCGGTCTCCCGGTTCACGAGATTACGTCAAGTGTTTGGTAGATGAAATTGGGGGTAGAGGCTCTACGAGGCCGATCGATCTCGATTTCATTCAATGGGTGAGGATGATCTGAATATTTTGATCCACTCGATCGATTTTAGATTTTTCTGATTCTGCTTTCTTGATTTGTGATGCACTAATCTTTTGGATCCAATCAACTTTAGATCATACAAGAAATCAAACTGAGATCGTAGTTCAATCAATCAAACTCAACAAAAATTGGCTTTGTTATTGTTTCCAAGACTAACTATTTAAGCAAAGCTGGAAGTGCATTATGATCATCAAGTGTACATGTATGTATGTATGTATATATGTTGTTAAAGATTTCATGATGTGCTGTGAAACCAGTTTAAATATCATGAACTTTAAAAGCTTAAGCTATTAGAAAAGGATCTATTTTGTTCACATATATGTGATCAGAAATACCTTGTATGGTATGGAGGAGATAGATAGAATCGTTGATGTAGAATTAGGGACAGGGACAGCACGAGTAATACTGCATAACTAGAAGCATCAACAAGGCAAATCACATCAATTTACCACCAAACTCCCAAAACACAAAGGTGAAAGAGAACCTCTAGACAACTCTTATCAAAGACCATCTCACTGCCCTACTCACTTATAAGCTTTCTTTGCAGGAGATGAGCTCGTCATGCCTACCCCAGAAGATAACATAACACAGCGGTACGCCATATGCATCTTCTTCTTTTTATCTCTGCCCCGGTGCTTCTTCGGGGATGGCCGGCTTCGACATGTGATCTGGTGGACATTATTGGGAGGTTACGGGGTTTTAATGCCTTGTCTTGTTGTATATAGTCAGCAAGTTCGCCTGTGCCACAAGTGACGTTAGCAGAAGCTGCTTTAGCTGGCTTCCGTGCAGTTAATGTCTTCACGAGTGATGAACGACGACATCGTAGAAACAGTGGGCAGAAGACAGCGGCGACGACATCGTTCGGTCTTTGCCCGCACACTCTTCTGAGTTCCTGAGACCAATCGAGGAATCGAGGTTGCTGCATCCACCAGATCACAAAGGTATAACTCATATGCAGTAGTAGAAACATCGTGTTTATTTTACGAGGTGCAAATGTTTGATAGAATGTTTGCTTTGGTCTTACGACTCAAAACTAAGGCTATCTTGATGACTGTGGAAGATACAGATCCGGAGCAGCTAACTCACCATGGATAGATTTGGTTGGGAGAATCCAGCGGCCATCAGAACCGAGGTTTCCATGTCGCCAAGTATATGGAGCAATCACTACGATGACTTCACGACCTCTAGCGAAGGCCACAACAGCTTTAACGAGGAGTCGGACCTCAACGAAGCTCTCATCCTCAGCTCAAGTCTCGAGCTTCAGCGGATTCTTGCACGCCAAACCAGTTCAGATGTTGATGGAATCAGTGAGTCGATGGAAATCTTAACTCCCGCCTCGGACTCCATCAACAACAGTTTGAATCTGGATCTGTTGCAGTACCAAGAAGCGATAATGTCAGCAGCTGACTCTGTTCTCATGACACCAGCACTGGGTACTACCTTGGGCGATGCTGCTGCTCCTCCATCATTCGGGACATCTGAAGAGCTACATGTCATCAGCAACACCGTCGATGCGCAAGATGGCACCGCGGCTGCGTTCTCTCGACGCACAAATGTGGTGCATGGTTTGAGTTGCAGCGGTAACATTTCTTCGGGGGAGTCCGAGAACGGCGGGCCAAACCTGGACGATGTGGCTTCACAGGCTTCCTCGGTTCGGCAACTTGAATCTCTGAAGGGAAGGAGAAACGCCAAGAGAAAGTTAGATGAGGTGAAGAGAGTAGGGGAAAGCAACCACCCGATTTGTAGCCTCCTCCAATCGAGTTGCTCAACAGGGGAGGGAGGCTATCAAATTAGCTTCTCAAGGGGAGCCCAATCGAAGAAGCCGAGATCAGAGAAGCACTCGGGGAGTTCGAGTATCGATTTTGTTCGGGAAGGCGGATACGAGCCCGACACCGAGGCGATCGCGCAGGCGAAGGAGATGATCTATAGGGCTGCAGCTCTGCGGCCGGTGAGTCTGGGGGTGGAGGAGGCAGCGGAGAAGCCACAGAGGAAGAACGTGAAGATATCGAGTGACCCACAGACTGTGGCTGCAAGGCATAGGAGGGAAAGGATAAGTGAGAGGCTGAGAATACTGCAAAGGCTGGTCCCAGGGGGCAGCAGAATGGACACTGCGTCTATGCTCGATGAGGCTGTCAACTACCTCAAGTTCCTCAAGTCACAAGTCAGAGATCTGGAAACCCTGGGTAACAGGTTCCTTCCAGTTAACAGTAGCACCACAGCACCACCCTTCCCACTGCCATTGAACCAAGCTTCTTCCACGCAGACAATTCTCCTCCACCGAGAACCCTAAACACATGCAAAAGGTCAGACAGATTAAGTAAGCTCCTCGAGACCCACACATCATATTATTGCCTTCATCATTAGCTTAGAGTCTCGGGCTCATGGATTCATCCCTTTCTCTGTAGCAGACATACTTTTCCCTTGCAAAGAATCCTAATTCTAAAGCTGGTATTCCTCCCTTTTAACCTTAATTCAACTAAAGCAATCTTGGTCCAACACCCATTAGTTCGAAGAATCATTTCTGTGAGTTGTCAGTCTCATGCAAAACCCTAAACAAAACCATCATACAGTCGCGAGTTCTTCCTTTCTGGTTGTCTAGGAAGCATGGCAGCCGCAGCCTTTAATCCAACCCTTCCAATGCATAAAGGAATGAGGAATCATGACATCTATGATTAGGAGCCCTACCTTTGATGTGGTCACAACTTCTCTCTTCCCTGGGCTGCTCAACTCCATCTTTAGCTTCCCTCATAATCTCATTCCTTTCTACAGATTAGTAAAAGCTGCGTCTCTTCGGGCATGCGGCCCAAAAGCTGAGACATTCTCTTGGGTCCGGGCATGTGGCAGAGTGGATTGTCCCCCATCAATTCAAGGCAAGCGTGCCCTTGAGAAGGCCACCAAGTATGGCAAGCACATGGTGATCAGAAAAAGAGCAAGCCTTTCTACAATAACCCCTGCCTGCCTCAACCAACGTCTTTCTTATCTCCTCCTCTTCCACTGTTCAGGTCTCATGGAGAACAAAGAATGTGAAGGTTAAGCATTGGATAAAATTGAAGTGTAATTGGCCACTTGAATTGGCAACTTGTAATGGGCGGCACTCTAAGCTAATTTGTCTTATTGCATGTCAATTGCCCCTTCATTTTTCTATGCTCGAAGGAGAAAGAAGGTCTGGTACATCGAAACCAAAGTGGTCTGACTTCACCCAAGGGATTGAAAGATAGTAGTTCTGTTTCAAAAAGGATCCTTTTATTACTCGATTTGGGGAGTAGGAGATCAAGTTGTAGACACTGGAGTTGGGTTCGAAGGTTCGAAGAGAGGGCAACTTAGACTATGGGGTACCCAACCCAGTTGGCTTGTGTGATAGGGCAGATGTTTCTCCTACCTTATGTGATTTCAAGTTTTAGCTGCATTAGTTCTTCCTTTATTGAGCTACTGGTTCAGCATTCGCTACCATCTCTACTCTGATATCTGTAGACCAGATAATTATATAAGAACTGAGAAGGAACCCAAGTGATTCTACCAAACAGAAAGGATACAAATCAAAATAGATGATTCACAGCCTCGCATTATTTTAGAGAAAAAAAATTTAACAGAGAAAAATAATTATTTCGCAGTCGTAGATCTAGTGATGGTCAAAACAACTAAAGATTTAAGGAGTGTATGTCATTAATTAAAGCATGGCAATGCAAAAATGGATAGACAGATTGTCATGCAAACTGTTTCTTGTATTATTAACCAACACTTGATGAACTACTATTTGGAAAACAAGAGAACCACCATAGAAGACCAATTCGAATATTGCAAGCTATGATCGATAGAGGTGAAAACTTTAGTACTACATTTGATGCTCTGTTGAGTAATATCCGGCATTTTTAACAAAGAAATTGATATTGGCTGCTACATTGATGTTCCCTAGAACATGCATTTGCAAGAACCTAAGTGTGTTGGGGCCCTTTCCAGAACAGAGCGAACTGAACATATATATTGTTGAAAATAACGACTAGACTTAGGATTCCACTGGCTGAAGGAATTAGAACAAAAATGGGAGGTTATGTGAACTGTTAATAGTAATTTCAAGTGGGCATGATATGATAATAACAAGTTGAAGACATGATCCCCAGTCAGGCTTCAGATGATGAGATGAAGGCATCATAAATCATAATCACCATTTACAATCAGTAGCTGCCGTTTCTCAGCAACTGGTGATCCAATTGAAGACCTAATCACTAGATAGATCTGGTAATGATGAAGTGCTATGCAAGAGTACTACTGTCATTTGGGAGAATGTCGGTAATGTCCGAATCAGTCAGAATTGGTTCGACTCTACATGTACAAAAACTTAGGTGGAGCCAAGATAGTCTCAGATGCTGACCTAAACAAAGACCGAGGACATATCGAATTCCCAACATGATCATTCTGACGCTTAAGTTAGTCACGGAATAGAAAATGAGAGTTTCAAATAAATCAATGACTTGCATCGATTACTCTACAATATGGACGAAATATTTCTTCGAAACTTTATATTAGGCCAATGTCTATGCGGCTCAACCGTTGACCGAGTCCTTGGCCACCTTGGTTTGATTAGGCTACCACGTGTTGAGCCCTGATTGAGATGAATATTTCCCTACCATATGGAACCCATAGGAAAAGAAACTATGTAATAATCTTACTTCACATTAATTACTCATGTTTTTTAATGAAAAGGAAGACATGTTTATATGGCAAAGTTTATGAGGCCCATAGATCAGACCCAACAACAAGCCAGGTTGTTCCATGCACACAAAGTGACCCTGGCCGACAAGGGCCTGAGTGCCATTCTCCATCCCTTCTCGTCCCCACTTTTACTCCAATCCTCCTCTATTCCACCCTCCTCTTGGACCCCTCCTTCCCCATCGCCGTCAATTAACATTTTAGGATTATGATCAAGTCCTATTTCACTGCTTATACGATATGAGCCATCAACTACAACAATTGTGGCTTCAATGACTACAGTAGTATAAAGGAACATAGATCCAAACTTGCAGCAAAGCAGCTCTATCTTATACACGTCCCAGAGTGGTTCATACAACAGACATAAAAAGAGCATCAAAACGATCCCTCTTTGGTGATCCGCTGGTGGAATAGAATGTAAGTAACGTGGTATTCTCACAACCATAAAAGCATAAGAAACATAGGTTAGTGAGATCTTATCAAGAAGGCAATGTTTGTAAGCTACATGATCACGGGAGGCTAATTCTCATTCCTTGATCCTTGGAAAGGGCCTTCGATTGCAGAACACAAACATGTGTATGCTAAAACTCAAAGCCCCCATCGACAATTACGAAATTCCTAGTATATTAGTCGGTTTGTCGGACTCACGCAGATACCGATCTTATCAAGAAGGAAATAACACAAGGGAATGTGTCCTCACTCAGTCAGATCTATTTGTTCATCACCACGAATTCCAGATGCTATTAAGCTATCCAAGAAAGAGAACGCCAAAGAAAGAAATCGATTGGCCTGAGGCGAATTATAAGGGAAGATTCAGAGGTAAGACAGAAATCTAAGAATGCATCGGCAAGCGAGAGCATGAACTCGAATCATCTTAGTCGGAAGAAACCTAAGACGCAGCCGATCAACTAGTTAGCGACAACAACATGATGAATGCTCCGAGGTTAGAAGAATTAACAGCAGAATACATCATCGAAGAACAGAAGAAGAGTTTGAGAGAGATTAGAACGGAACGAGGAGGGAAACACACCTGGAGGTGATCGGCTCCCTCTATTCCTCCGCAGAAGGCTATTCCGCCTCGGTCGTCGTCGTTTCTTTATATAGTCGGCCCACAATTGCCCCAAAATTGATACCCAATCGGGCCCATTATTGGCCTGTTATTAGTGCACCAACGAAAATAAAGATAGGAAGAGAATATATATATATATATATATATATATATATATATATATATATATATATATATATATGTATATTTAAAATTTTATATATTTGATATGGTGAATCCGGATGATATTTAAAATAACCTAACTTAGTTCATATCTATATGTGTTGATAGTCCAATATAGTCGAATACTACGCTTGAGTATTCATCGAACAATCGATTTGCATAAAGATCAAGGTTGAATAATTCAATGAAGATTTTCTCATGTTTTAATTAATTTCAAAGAAAATTTGATCGACTTTTACAGTGCGTTTAGTTTAAAAAATATTTCATTATATGGATATAATAATTTTTAAAAAAATTATTATATCAATACTTTTGTGACTACATTGTTGGATAGCGTTTGCTCTCTCTTAAAAATTATTATATCGTCACGTGTGTGATTAGGATAAATGCTTCTCCTATAAATACTTAAAAATAATAATATTTTAATAAATTTATATAAAAATATTATGTTACAGTATTTTTAAATGGTTAGTGGATCAATTGACATGTCAGCAGTGTTATAGGTATTGGGTAAAAAAGACACAAGAGGGTTTTCCAAGAATTCACCTAAATAATAATAATTATTCTAAATGAAAAAGTTACTTAAATACATTCTAAATTTAAATTTAATTGGATGATTTCACATGAATTAAAATTTAAAATTATTATAAATCAAAAGTTAGTTAAATACATTCTAAATTTAAATTTAATTGGGTGATTTCACACGAAGAAAAGGAAAGAAGAGAATAAGATAGATATGCTAAGAGAAGAAAAGAAGGCATAAAAACTATTTTTGATGGGATAAATAAATAAATAATTTTTAAAGCATGATTCATCGTTCTAAAATATTTTTAATCAAATTAGTACATAAATCCTACCCTTATAAATAATTTCAATTCTTTTATCACATTCAATGCGAAATTAAATGATGATCGATTTATTATAGAAACCCACATGATGAATACTCTTTTGAGGGTATAAGAATGCATCGAAGAGAGGAGTACGTTTGAATTCCAATGGCCCAAAATTGAAATCCAAACGGGCCCATAATTGGCCTGTTATTAGTCACGTGAGCGCGGTCGTTGGCCCCTCGCTCTACGTTTCCTCCTGGCATATGAATGCACCTGCAAGGCACGTGCCGATCGTGAACTCCCGCGCCCCGTCCGCGCCAATATATATTTGCAGCCTCCTCACTTGAACAGAGAACTCTACCTCCGGAGGAGCAACCCCATCGAAGAGGTCTCGTATTCCCGCCCTCTTCCGTCCGCCACCAACCGCCGCAGGCTCTACGAGATCTAGTTCGATGGGTAAGTTGATCTGATATGTTCTAATCTTATGTTCTTTCTTCTTGTTCATCGTTTGTCTTCCACACACGTTCTCCTTACTGCTGCCGATCGGATTCTAGGGTTGAATCTGATCCAATCCAATCTTCTTTCTTCGTTACCATTGTTTGACTTCCACACCCGTTTTCCTTGCTGATTCCGATCGGATTCTAGGGTTTAGTCTGTTCCGTCTAATCTTTTTTTTACATCTTCATCGTTTGTCTTTCGATCGAATTCTAGGGTTTACCTCGTTCCTGATCGTTAGATTATTGTGTGCGGGTGTGTGTGTTCTTGCATAGGTAAGGTGCACGGATCGTTGGCTCGCGCTGGAAAGGTGCGAGGGCAGACACCCAAGATGGAGAAGAAGGACAAACCGAAGGATCCCAGGGGAAGGGCCTTCAAGCGCATGCAGTACAACCGCCGTTTCGTCACTGCAGGTACTTCTTTCTATCCTTCTCTTGTTCAAAGCTTTCGCCTTCCCTTTCTCTCGTGTTCTATAACTGAATCATTGCTGTTAATGATTCCGATTCCTTTTTCCCCCTCCATAAATTCAGTCGTGGGATTCGGGAAGAAGAAGGGGCCCAACTCGTCCGACAAGTAAACAGCTCTCTTGTAATATAGTTCTTACTTCCATCTCTTATGACTTCTTTTTCCTTTCTGAATGCTATAGTTATAGTTGGATTTAAGGACTTTGCAATTGTTTTTGGGATTATCCAATTATGAAGTCGAATCCATAGTATATAGTTCGTCAGTTTAGTCGTTAATTCACGGCTTGTTAATGGAATTTGTCAAACATGATTCATGCATTGAGCCTCTTTTCTCCGAGTAAGCTATTCCGACTTCTTTCTCAGTGCCGAAGGGTTTGAACCAACCTTGGTGTCCGTCCAGTATTATTGTTGAGCAAAACTATCTGTAGATTTCCAAAACTATTTGAAGAATGTAAGAATCTCTTAGATTTAGTTGCATAGGTAGTCTACGAGGAGTAACCCTAAACCCTGCTCGTAATGGTGACTGTTCCAATTAGAGAACGATAACATGCGAGGAACAATTTTTTTTTTTTTTGCCCCTCGTTATTTCTCATATATGACAAAACCTGAATCCTTGTTCCTCTTTGAAATCATTTGTTGTGGATCCATATGTTTAATGATAACGGAGAAATTTCGTAAAAGACTCTATTAGTAATTTAGTTTTTTATTCTCTTTCAACAAATGAGACATTGGACGAAATAAAAAGATGGTAGAAAAATAGTTTAGATGAACATAAAAAAAATGATTTTGAATTTTTAAATGTCGATATACACGTTAATGTCACTTTTCAAGTATTTTACGCTTTAACAATTGCAACAACCACATGGCATATAAGCTAGTAATACCTTTTCTTAAAACTTGAAGTAGCTGTAGTAATATTACCAGAAAACTTGAAAAGCAAATCAACACACTTTATATTTAAACAAGTTTTGGTTTGACAAACATTTATACATGTGTTTTATATGTCTGCGTAAAGAAAACACACGTTTTCCATATCAAACAAATGATAAATCTGGATCCAAACGGAACATCAAAGTAGGAAATGATTGGAAGAACTGATTCACACGAGGCAGGAGATGTACAAAGTTTGATCCGTTCAATACTACTCAATGCCTGAGCTTGAAATATAGGATCAACACAATTGCCAAAACCAGCGCTACAATGATGCCACCGATGATCCACTTGTTCCTGTCCATTCTCTTCGACATGGCTGTCAGGATTTTTCTACTCTTACCGATGTGGTCGTCCACTCCATGCAGCTGCAATTCAAGTCATCCTCAAAAACTTAGTGCATATAACATTGAGGCCCAAATAAAAACAAAATTCAGACTGAAAGCTTAAAGATTTCTTACAGCTACAAGCAAATATATTGCACATTCTGTCTCTTGACCTAGGCATGGAAAGATAATGCAATCATGCATCGTAATGTTAAGTTAATGATGATGGATTCTCAATGAGGAAACATAATGCATATAGCAAATCTTTTCGAAAAAATTGTAACATATTTGGGATGCATTGTCCCGTCAAATCAGAAAAACATATTGAAGTACCTCAGCAGTGAAACCATACCATGGAATTCGTTTCTGGTGGTTGGGCATGGTGCAAAAGAAAAGATGGTCTAAGTGGTCTCAACATATGTCCCAGTAAGCTCATTTTAGTTAGATGCATTAGTAAGGAAAAGAGGAGTCAAGTTCATCGTATCAGGAGAGAAGGCATATAATTCAACGAGAGTTTATCACAAAGTATGTGAGAAAGAGGGCCATTGGATTATCCCAACAAGGACTTGCTCTTCAAAGAGCAAGATAGCAGAGCAGGTTCCAACTGGTGTACGATACCTGAGAAGCAAAGCTTTAATTGCAAACATAGTGGCATATAGTCTCTAATTAATTTAGTGCTTAGCATTTGCTAAGTAATAGATGACATGGCAGCCAAGAACAGTTTAGGAACTCACTCTCTTATCGAATATGAGCAGGTAACTATATTCACCTGGTCACTTGAGTCAAACTTTCCCGTGCACAAATTTTACTCCTCAGGACCACCATCTGGAAGATAGCTTGGATTGACATTGCGATTTCAGATGTATAGCTAATAGGAAAAAAGTATTCAAGGGAAAGAAGCCCGAGCTAAAGGAGGTGGGAGAGGGGAGATAAAGTTTACGGGTTTTTTTATCAATGACTAGATTAGAGTGACAAGCTAACTAAGGATATCTTGTGATTATACTCATAAACAAATACTAGTGTTCATTGTATGTAATAGAATGCTAAGCAGTTGTCCCCACATAATCAGAAGCATTAGCTATTGATATGTTATAGATGGTTCTTTTTGAGCAGAATTACAAAAACCCCAAATTATATCCAGCAGCAAAGCACTATGATTAACATGGCGACTACAAATTTCCAAAAGGGACCAAGAGAACTACTGCTCTAAAGTTAATTAAAATCTGACTTATGATTCACCAGACCGCTTCAGCTTATCCATAGTGCCTTTTATTCTCTGCAACTCTCTCAGAACTCTATGACTACTGGTCCACAATGAAAATAAAAAGACTCCAAAATTTTTTGTATTTTCTAAATTATAAGCCACGACTGGCATGATCCAAGATGTTTCCATCCACATTTTTGAACAATAAAGAAAATGAGAGAGAGAAAAAAGAGAGACATCAAGTAGTGCAGAATTTTACAGATATATCTATCACAAAGAGAATATTAAATGATCGGAATGGGAACATACTGTATTATGAGCATGCAAGAGAGATTGACGTTGTTGATGCAGGTCTTGAAGAATTGACACGCCAAGTTCTTCTGTCTCCAAAATTGTTCTTCTACTTTCCTTTACCCTTTCAGTAGATTGATTCAATCTCTCTGTTGACATCATCAACCTTCCTCTTTGATCAGCGGAGACCTGTAACATATAAACTTTATTCATTGGCCCAGAAGCACAGAAAAATCAGATCAGATCTGATATTCCTTTGGTGTTAATTGGCTGATACAAGGGCAGCAAAAGGTGAACAACATTAGATCGGAGGTTTTGCAGCCTTCTATACTGGTGAAAGACGTCATAGGGGAGAAAAACAACTTCATAATGGAATATTCAATTTAGTGAACTAGGAACCAACATATATACATCCAATATAATGAGTTTTTTTTTTTTAACTTATTCTAGCATTTTATCTGGTCATATCACCTATACAAGACACTGTACTTCGAAATGTGATATCACTCAGCAAAACTATAAATGGGATACAAGATCAGAATGGGTAACATAGTAGCAGCACTTATCAATGGAAGAGGCATATCAAGCATCATATGTCTTGGTTTCCCTTTCATTGCAAGATGACCTAAGTGGAATATTGTTCACCATGAAAAAAAAGGTCAATTCAATAAGTTTAATTTATCAGTTTTACACTGCAACAAATCTTAATGACGGTAAATGATCCATGTAGTCGATCTCAAATAATTGAGACCTACGGCTTTGTTGTTATTATTGTTGTTGTGCCACTGCAACAAAAAATATAAGCTTTCTTGTATGAACTAAGTCTCTTTGTAGTTAGTTACCTACTATTCAGATAGAGTAGATATAATTTATGGAACTGTACCGAGATGTAGCATAGCTCTTAAACACAGTAAAACTGAGCAAAAGTATAAGATCTTTTACCATCAGTGTGTCGGCCATTCCTGATTCAAGCAGATCCTCCCTCGCCGCTTGATTAGGATTGACAGTAGTAATCTTTTTTAGCTCACTTTTCAAATTATTCAAGTCTGACTTGTACTCCCTCAACTTTGCAAGCAATCCAGCTTTCACACTGGGCTGCAAACTTCTTGCCTCGAGATCCATTTTTCGGATCTACAAAACAATGCATGAAGAGCTTTTAGAACAACTTTATCTGACCGAGGAATCCAGTAAATTTGTCAGTCCAAAACATTACCAAAGATTCAGCATCATCCACTCCAGATTTAATTTCCGAAACCTTCTGCTTCTTTTGCTCTGCGAAACAACACATGATATTATCCAAACGCTACCTCTCAATTACAAGACAAGCGCCTAAATCTTATTACCTCCATCGAGAAGAGCAGCCGATGTGCACTTCCGCGAGAGAGCCGCGGAGATCTCACAATACTGCCGCTCGTAGCCTTCAAAAACTTCGCTCATTCTGAATTTTCCTTATTTTTTGATTCGATGCCCAAAATCACAATTGAAATATTGATCCTATAAAGATGTAATTAATCAAGCTTAGAGAACGACGATCGACAAAAACAAGGCGGTCGAGTAAAGAAAGATCGGTTTCTTCTTGGAACTTCGAAGGTCAACGAGACTACCGATCTGAAGCCAAAAACCTAATCGTACATCTTACTAAAAGGCATCTGGAAATTTACACAGGAAATCGCAAGAAATCGATACCCACTAAACAAGAAAAAGAACCGACGAATCGAAATCGAAACCCCTCTTCGTAGATCGAGCATAAAAACTCTCTAGAAACTGATCATTCCGGATCGAACTAAAGCAGAAGAAGAGAGAGAGCGAGAGAGATCAATCATAACAAAAACCAAAACATCCATTAAGAGTTTTAAGGATCGGATCTTACGATTAGACCGCACGACGAGGTCGCGAAGTAAATCGATTCGAGAACGAGAGCGAGGGGGGAGGGAGAGGAGACAGGGCGGAATCAACGAAGGCGGCTTTTTATTGGTTCGTTTATTTATATCGAAAGGGAGAGAAAATAGGATAGAAAATTCCAGAAAGCGCGAATCCGACCGTCCATCACCTGAGGCGCCTTCCGGTCGGACAATCCTTAGCTTACATCACAACTAACCGCAGTTAGGTTAACTCAAACCGCGAAAGAAGAGGTGGAGATTTTTTTTGTGTTTCACGACGCAAAACTGAACGTTATACGTTCGTTCACATCACTGTCAATAAGAAAAATCAAGATCTAAAGATCAACCTTCGATCCAAAAATTATCGGACTTGATTGTACTCATATACGTTGCCAATAATTTACGATCATTATAATAGGAAATCAATCCTTTAATTTTTTTTATCACCAAAATAAAGAATAGGAGGAGATTAACGGCGCTAGAAAACGGACGACTAACTCTACCCGCTAAACATGGAAGCTGCCAGCATTCTTTGAACAGAGCTCGTAGTTTACTCTCTCTCTCTCTCTATTCTTCTGGAATAGTAGAAGAAGAGGTGTTCTTCCAAGTGCAGAGCGTTCTTCTTCTTTTGTTTTTAGTGAATCTTCCTGTTAAATCTCATTGAGATTAGACTATGAGCTCCTCGATACATTCACTCAAAAGGCTTATGAGATAGGCTTATATCGTAGGATCGAACAAAAAATTTAGAAGAAATTTTATTATATGATTGATCTAAACAATTCATCGACATATTTAGGTTGTGAAGAATGATTTTGTAAGATAGTATAAGGTCATGTGAAATACTGATGAAGAAGAACATCGAAAAGGTTAGAGCAACCATTTCACCGGACAGAACAAGATGAGATTTTTCATTGGCTGACAACACTACATCAAAATCTGAGCATTATAGCTTCATCTTGAATGCCTATTGCTTCAACCGAATCACAAATGAACTACGATCAAATCGAAAGATATGTGCAACACTATGCATCAAACCGGTGGCAAAAATTTACAGTGTCCAACTAGGAAGTGATATGTAGGTAGAACAGATTTCTCTGGGCACGCTTTAAGGGAAGTAATTGTTACAATGACTGGAGTTAGCTATAGTGATGAAGGAAATGCTTCGGTAATCCTACTAAAGACAAGTCCGAGTGGAACACATGCAACAGCAGGTCTCACAATCGTTTCAACCTCTGGCTTTCTGATGGATGAAAGCCTCCGGATCTTTCTGGGAGACAACCTTGATGTTCTGCTATTTGAATGTTTTCTTTCCAAAAGAGAAGGAACATTGAGCTGATCATAGTTCCCCCATTGAACGCCACGATAGGTCTGTGCTGCTTTCTTCCCAGGAGTTGCTCTCCCAATAATTACTAATCCATTCTTCAATGACCGATTAATGTTGCTTGTAGCTGGCCAACAGTCGTTCTTAGTTATCAGAGTATCACTGGAGCCGTCTTCCATGACCTCAACGGGAGCAGGATGGCCAACAATTGCTTTACCGTTCAATTTACTCATGAGAGAATTCAGAGGCACATGAGGTCTGCCAGTTTTTGTTTCTACAGTCAATTCAACATCATATAGTGAAGAACCCAGACCTGTACTTCTTATTTGCTTCACAACCTGGTACTTGGAGCAAGTCAGAGTAGAGACTCGGTCACGAGGAAACAATTGTCGAGTCATCAGAGTGGAGATAGGAATCTGTCGCCTGGATGATCTCTCATGGTCTCTTGAGGGTAGAAGTGAGGTAGAGCAATTTATTACACAATGCTTTAAAGCATCGGACTGGCAATGTTCCCATTCACTAGAAGAGCAAGGAAGATCAGAACTCTGAGATTGGGAAACATCATATGCCTCTGAAACTGATTCATCCTTTACTAAATGACAATGACAACTATCGAGAGTCAATAATTCATCTGAATGATTGCTGCCAATTTTTCTGGCCAAGCCTGCAAAAAAAATTTTCTTCTCCATTTGATCCAAGGAATTCTCAGATTGATTGGCCCCATTGATGTGGCTTTCAGAATTTGTAATTCTACTGAACCTCATATAATTCAGGTTCTTTTTACTGATTAAATGTGGTTCCACACTCCTCTTTTCTGCCTTCTTATTGACACTATTAAGCTGATGTCGAGAATCAGTATAGCTACTCTCTCTAAGCCCTTCAGCAAAATGTGATACAAGATCATCCTTGCAGCAACCATTATAATGCTTCTCATCTACACGTGGCAGAAGATCTCTGATCGGACAATATTCAGAAGCCTTCTGAAAATCTGGAACCGCATCAAATCATAAACAGTTAATCCATTTTCCACCAGCAACAGGAAACATAAGATCATGCAATATCAACCCTGTTTTTCTCAGACTTATATCATCTAGTATATGAAACAAGTACAGATGAGTAGAAAAAGAGACATAGAAATACAAGACAAATGAAAAGACAAAAGTAGATGGGGAAAAAAAGCAAAAGACTACATTATGTGATTAAATCTTTAACCCAACAACATTACAAATATCAAAGCCCTTGGAGGCACTAAGTAGCGCATATAATTCTTAGCACCAGATGAGTGTTCACTCATAGGAAACTTAAGTTACAGTGGTCTCATGGAGATGGCTGTCCCTGTTTTGCACTGAAGATCCATCTTATAACAACAAGAAATTTATAAAACAAAAAACGTGTGATAAAAAAATTAAAATGGAGAACCAGAAGGTGATATTAAAAGATCAGTGAAACCAAACACATTGAATTTATATATGACTAAGTTCTTAAACAAAATATGACCAATGTATCCTTAAGATAAAGCTACACTAACCAGAACTATCAGGGTTGTTAATCATAAATCTCATCAATGTTGCAGATACCATATGAACCAAAAATCTCAAAATAGAAGGATATCTGATTCTCAGAGATGTGGACCTCAATCAAGTTTATAAAAAGGAAATTTACTTAGCTTGTTGGTACTTGGTATATTTAAATTACAGTCAGCCTTGTTCGTTAATGTAGTAATCTAGCCTTGTTTCAATATGAGACTTAACATCTCCATTTAAAACAAATCCATAAAAAAAAAAAGGATCAATTAACAACACCAGACTCGTCACATATGACCAACTAACATGCCTATCGGTGAACCACAATTGGGTTATTGGCAAAACAAAATAGAGGTATCAACCGCAAATAGGATTTTTGGCAATCTCAACCTTTAAGTAATTCATTGTTATTCACATTCTGCGGCAAAAGCAATTAGCCAGGCTGTCAATTATTAATATAAAATAAGAAAGAAACTGAAAGCTTACCTTCACCAATACGGTCACCCATTACAAGGGTAATATCGACGAGGCCATCAGAGCATTCATTGTCGATGAACTCCAACATGCTTGCAAGTTCACAGTCCTTGATTTGAGAATTGAAGTCTGTGCCATCAAATTTACAAGTGCTCTCAGATGCACCCAACAATGTTTCACCCGATGTTCCTGAACCACATGTAATATTTGTCCAACTTGGAATAGATAGCAGTTCCTTTGATGTTTTCTCAGTAGCTTCTTTAAGAGGCCAGAATCCTCCAAAAGTACCATCCCAGTAACAATATGATGGAATTATAATCCTACTACCTTTGCAAACTTTACTCAGTGCATGGTGACAGTCTCTTCTCACATCCTCAGGAGCTTTGGCACTCGATCGCTTCCGTTTCAGGCATGAACCAGAACTTTTACAGCTTATTATTGGACCAGAACTAAAAAACCTGTTATTTATGTTTGATTCGCTGAGCGAAGCACTGTCAGGAAGGGCTAAGTCAGTAAATAATTCTGTTTCAACATGCACATGAGGCTTTCTAGTTGATGTAATCCCCAATCCTATGTCCTTTTGATCTCTCACATGGTTTATTCCTTCACCTTCTGAATCATTTGGAGTTCTCCAATGTTCTTTCTCCATCAGTTGAGCATCAGCAGCAATCAACTTATCCAGCTGTTCATATGACACCAAAGATTGAGGTATCTCTTGGGGTGAATTCTCTTCAAAAGTATCAAATTTTCTGGCCATCAAACCTCGTTGCTTGTCAAGTCTATGCATCTTTTTTGATTTTTTGGTAAAATCACAACCTGTTGCTCTGTAGAAGTTGTTCATTCCTGAGCCATTCTGCTTTCTGGAAGGAAAGTAAGACTTCTCAATCTCCAAGGCATGAAGAATGGCATCTTCTCTGTGGACGTACTTCCCTGTACTGGTTGAGAATTTACTTGAATGAACTGCAGAAGCCATGGCCTTCTGGATGCATTCGTCAAACTCCCCACAGCGAAATGCTTTAACACGTGTTGATTTCTCAAGGTTATACCAGTCCCTGAATAAGTAAATTATTAGCAAAACAAAGTTTATGCTAGTAGCAAGATAATATAAGCATCACATAGACTAGTCGCAGAAAAATTTTTCGCATGGGATATGCCAATGTTAATTAAATAATAAAGAAAAAACCAAAGAATGCAAGGAATTAAACACCAGTCAGTATGTACCACTGGCCTCACCAAGGACCAGTATTAGACCATATAGATTGCCACTGGTCAGTATTTAATTTTTTATTATTTCTTCTGATAAAACTGGAAGATATGAATTGGTAAACCACCTGCTACACTGGTACCATGTCGGTCCAATCAGCTATCAAAGGCGATATCTGACTGAGATTTAAATCCTTGTTTGATGGAATGCCTTACATTAACACTTAGCAATTAGATGTCACTTTATTGAGTCATATGCAGATACTTTTGCAACATATTCCTCCACTTTGTCATCTCTCTTATAGGTCAACTTAATAAATGCCTTAACCCAATTAATATAATTTTTTTCTTTTTCACTTTTCCTTTTTATATCTCATTTTTCCCAAACCTTTTCACTTCTTTGTCACTTTAGTCTCTGTTTTAAGCTTGAAATGATATCCCAACTCTTTAACCATCCATATTAAACACCTTAACCCAAATTTTCTGTCATTGAACAGCTGACTTGATCCAAACCACCAAGAGAATAGAAGGTTCAGTTGCATTTTTTTGTAATTTGGGAGCATTAATCAGGCAATAGAAAGAAGTTAAGGATTAAGTTACTTCTACATCCATAAACCCTTAAACTTATTCACAATTTCTTAGATGGGCTCCACAGAAAATTGTATGTTGATCAAAGAACTGATCTGGGATTTGTTCTTTTATGGTTCCTATCATTAAGCTGCATGGAATGACTTCCTTCACAAGGGTCCAGAAAACTATGCTGCATTGGATGCTTATATTTATGATATCTCTCCCTTAAGTTTTCTTCACAGATCGAGTGAAAATACTGATTTCAAAAGTTTAAAATAGTTAAACTCCTGAAATAATGAAAATCACTGTAAACTTGGGAATCAAGAACTAGTAAATTTTGGTCTTTCATATTTAAACATCAGATATTCTATCATAGCAATCACAAACTTTGTCCATCGGTAATGCCAATATTCCAATTGATCATAGTTTCCATATGACCTTTTCGTTCAAAGATATAACAGCAACAGCAACAAGCCTGTAGAAAAGACTGCTGTTATCTCTGTACACAAATATAACATCGAAAACCTAAAATGACCACATTAATAACTCCATAACCACTTCGTTCTCAAATTTCAACCAACAGCGAATGTGAGAATGACTCTGAAACACTTTTGAACATACTCCTGCACTATTTCAGAATAGGACATCTAACTTACAATCAAAGATTATCATTATGTTTTCATTTTGTGCAAATGATTTTTAGTTACGAAGATACTCCCAACCTTCCCCCCTCCCCTCCTCCATAATTCATTAGTTAAAAACATGGTTGATACAAAGGACATTAATCAGCATGCAAATTGGAGGCCTTTACATCTTTAAGAAATTCAAGTTCTTAAAATTAGGCTTTTAGTCTCTACAATTGGCCTCATGATGATAAATGATGAACTAACAATTTAGCATTTATGACAGACTTTATAGGAATTCTGCATTTAAACACTTTCATTCAGATTCTATAACCACACAAGTCAACATACAAAGGCGATAATTGTATCATAAATAGATAAAAGCAAGGGTGGATCATCATCATCATCATTAACTTCGTAATTATCAATATCATGCAAGATGGATTTGATACAAGGCACAATCAAAAATCAAGAGGGTTCCCCAGAAGACTGAGTAGATAACCAGGTCAAGACTGCAGTAGTGGCAGCAGGTGAACTATTTTATAAACTTTGTTCTTAAGGACTTGATAAATATAAATGATTCTCTTTTCCATAATCACCTGACATGTGTTCAAGTCTTATGTATTATAACTTATTCTAAATGTGAAAACATATATCTATATACTTTGAATGTGAACATAGAAAAATCTCTCTACTTCTGTACTTAATTGAGAACAGTTCCCTATTGAAGAAAAGAAGAACATTTCAAGCAACTTAACAAAGACAGAAAGAAGAATAGGTTTAACAGATGAGAAAGCTCACATGCTCCCATCTTCTCTTCCAAGAAGCTTGATGGGAGTTCCCGATCTCGGAGGAAGCAAGCATTTCACAGGCAGTTCATGCAGCCCCACAGTCCGTCCAGGCCACCATGATCCATTTCGGCGGCGGACCCACACCAGGCCCCCAGCCGACACATTGATACTGCTTAAGCTCGCATCTTGCTGGCTGCCCATAGCAAAACCAAAACCTACAAGAACATAACCATTTAAGCTAACCAAATCAAAATACATATAAAAGAGGAGAAAAAGGAACACCCCCTTCTGCTTTAGAACGGAGAAATTTCCAAGAGCAGATCTTATTAGCTCGGAGAAAAAACAAGAAAAAATGACTATGCCAAGTAAAGAAGAGCACTACAAAATCTCAAGAAAACACAAAGCACAAAAGATCAAATAAATAAATAAAAAACAAATTATTGGGTAATGGATTGAGAAGATGGACGAGAAGGCAAAAAAAACCTACGGAAGATAGGTCCTTCCCTGCTGACGAAAAAAAAGAGACCAAAAGGACCGCAAACGCAGACGAGAGGCCACGAAGCTTAAACGGTCCAAGGAAGAAAAGATCCGAGATAGGATAAAAATATCATTTTCTACGAGATTTCCATCTGCTTCTCCCCAACCTCGACTGGATTAGTCACTAGTGAAGAAAGCGGCTTGATCTTTTTTGTTATTCTTCTTCGTTATAGTTTTCAGTTGTCGTCTTCAAAGAGATGGTTGGCGATGGCGGCGTTACCTCAAATGGGGGAAGGTTGAGAGGGGACGGCGAAGCGCAGAGACGACAGAGGAGTGGAGAGGAGGAGGAGAGGGAGAGGGAGAGGGAGACGGAAAGACAAGGGAGGGCATGGAAGGAGGTATCCGGCGCAGTGTTTGGTGAACTCGTAGACACAAGTGGGCCAAACGTCACTTGGTATTTCTTATGAGGCTTCTACTAGTGAGAATGGCAGTAACTACTGGCTATAAGGAACTCTCCTTTTATATGCTGTGGAACAGTTCCACTCTTATTAGTCCAACCTAACTCTACCTTCAACTTTTCTGCAACAATAACAATAAGACATTTGAAATCGATTCCCATGAGATCTAATATAATTTTGTATTAGTTATGTAACACAACCTTCATCCTTTGAAACTAGAAGCCAACACATATATAAAATCTGCTTTCAAGAGGAAAGACTATCAAGTATGAGATCCTCCACAAGTTACAGCTCTTTACCATTAACATCACTCAAAATGCAAGGAGATATAAGAAGTGTGCTTGACCTTCAATAATCCATAATATCTTATATTTTCCTTTATCATGCAAAGGGCTTAGGGAAAGCATGTTTTGTGGATTAATCTTTGCCAAGGAGGGGGAAAGAATGCTTAACATTGACCTAAAACCATGACCACCACCACACCATCACCCTTCCACACAAAATGAGTCAGCTGGTCTGACAAGCAAGTTTCATGACTCTACTTCACTCCATCCATTATTTATGCAACTCAGTATAAAAACGCATAAGTATAAACGATAAACAAATCAGATGAGAAAATGTTACAGACATGATACATGTGATGATGCTACACGATAAACCGTCAAATCACATTGCATAATCGACAAAGTGGAAGAAAGACTGCTTAACATTTACACATTTACAAAGTTAATATGGATTACCTCCTCAGGCTTAGAGAAACTTTGTAGCTCATCATTAGCTTCATGTTCATACCATGGTTTCACTGATAGAAATTGGAGTTTTACAGACTAAGCATCTTTCCTGAAATGTGAATATTGTCCAGTTAACAAAAAAAAAAAGACAAACCAACACATTTACTTTGGAAGACAATTCATAATTGTCAACAGAAATGAAAAAGAAATTGTTATCTACCCGATGATCCTCTGGAGAACATGGATGCTAGAACTGCTAGTAGATATAGAGAATTGATGATAATGTGGGAAACATAACGAGCTTGCTGTTTTATCTTTTTTTATCTGTAATCATAATTACTCAAAATGAAATCATTTATATATCTAGTCAAAACAAAAGGAGAGCTAAAAGTTCACAAACTAAAAGAAGCACTCCAAATCACATCCAAGTTTCGCCAAATAAATTATATATATGCAAATTGAGGTCAGAATAACCTTGTTGATATTTCTGGTGCAGTGAATTGCACAACTTTATAGTTTGTTTATGCCTGTAACAAAATTGCATAACTGAGGCTGTGCAGAATTGCATGAATTCTGTCAACAAATGACAAATAACAAGAAAGAAGTCTGGTTTGACTACAAGTCTGATGTGACATATAGTTTCATGATTGAAGAGACAGTGGCATCAGATACAGAAATTACAAATTGTCAAGATATACCGCAGACAATTATAGCTTAGATACATGTTATATTATGGGCTAAGCAACTTGTTGATTACTAGCATGCCAATCACAATTACAAACCTGATGAAGAGCAACCCATCTGGAAAGGGTGCCAGTAACTCATACTCACATATACATTGGCATGTGGATCATTGTATTCAAGGGCCAGTTCCAATGCTCGTGTTTAAAATTCTTCCTTCCTCAAATTCTTCAAGAGGAAAATCTATCTAACAGTTACAAATAGACTAGTTACTATTGGAACCAATGGAATGAATAGAGGTGGAACAAGACAAATGTATATGCATATTGCCTCTATTCCGAAAGTTGATGAAGCTACTTACCGGAGCAGCAAGTAAATTAAATAGGGATGGTTGAACATTGTGCATGGATGAATAACAATTTGTTCTCCCAGATAGGCTATGCATCTTGACCGCCATACCATAGATTTAATCAAATGCCTCTTGCTAACATCAGATGCAATATCAGAAAGCAAGCTATTGGTTTCTTGAAGTCCATTGTCCGAGGAATTGGAGGTGAATGTCACACAGCAGACGGAAGTAATTGCCCTGTTCCTTGACCTGCAACTGAATTGACTGTTAGCTCTCTGTTTTATCTTATAGATTGGTCCAGAAGTGAAATGATTAGAGATCTAAAACCAGTATTCCAACTCTTCCAATATCAAAAAGCAACAAAGAAATTGGAAAAGCAACACTTACAAATCGAGAGAAACACTACTGTTCTGACTCTTTAAATGTCGGAGTTTAGTACGAGCAATTGAAGTATTCACTGTTTCCATGCTTTCAGGGCGTGGCAATTGAGTTCCTACCATAAAAGTAGCAACAGTTAGAAGGAAGATTAGATCCAATAACAGATGTAGTCCTTCAAACCATCTGGTAATCAGAAGAACAAATTGTGAGATGGAGCAAAATACTCTCAACGTCATCAAAAACACCCTAAAAAATGTTATGAAAGGTAACCAGATCACATGCTGCTCCAATTGATATCTGCCGAACAGACTCGCGCATTGATACACGGCAACAATTAAGACTACAAATCAGCAACGATCAATCATTCTTCGTCACTGTGACCGGTCCATGCGCCATAAATCTGACGGATTAGAAACCCTAAAGCAACGGATCCCTGAAGAACATGCCCAACGCAAGATATCAATCGAACCGAAACGGAGAAGACGGTAAAGGAGGACGCACCTTGACGGACCAAGAAAAAGTAGGATTACCCCAAGAATCGCGGAATGCAGCAGTGGAACAATGTGATGGTAGGTCAGGGTTGCCAGCCAGTAGTCGGAGAAGAAGCGGGGGGTAGTGAGGGAGAAGGCAGAGAGAGGAGAACGGCGGCGGAAGCGCGGGTTGGTTCCGTTGCATAGGTGATGACCCCCTGTCGACAACCAACTGAAATATTGCATAGCAAATGATTCCCCGCGTCGTGATTGGCGGAACCCTCTGGACCCACCGAGTACCTCCACCGGGTCAATTTCTGGTACTTGGGGTGGGTACTTTACGCGCCATCACAAAATCGCAAGGTTTGAGGTGGAGCCCACAGCGGCGAAGTCGGGAGAGTCGACGTGGCAGAAAATACTTCTCCTACCTTGTTATCCGTTACCCGGACGCAACTCATAACGAGGCCGTGTGGGACCCATCTTTCGCTTCGGATCCTTCGTCATCGATTTAGTTCAATAATTATAATATTTAAATTATTGAAATTATTGAGTTCAATAATAATATTTCAATAATTTCTTGCAAAGAAAGATTTAGTTCAGCATTAATAACGTCATAACAACAACGTCGGCAGGTGACAAAGACGGGTAGGCGAATAACGTAACGGGGAAGAGGAGCCATAAACCGTATCGTCGCCTCTGACAGCTACGTTCCGTACTCAAAGCGGAAACCGCGTTGATGACGCACGTCAAACGAGTTGAAGGGATGCGAAAACTGAGGATGCACAGCCGCACCGACGACCGACACTAAGATCGCTCATTGAGTTGTGACTTCTCTCGTACTTGAGTCGCACGCCCTTCCCTGTTCAGGCGCACCATGTCACGTAGCCTCTCGAAGTCCCGTTCTCGACCGGTCTTGGCTATATTAAATGCACAACCACCGAGACCGCCGTCACGACGTGTATTAGTGTGTGTCAGACACTACCGAGCTCCACCATGGATCCGAGCTCCACTCCTCCCAAGCTCTCCCTCTACTGGCTTCCCAGCCAGCGGCCAGAGCCACCTGGCATGGCGACACCGCCTCCCGGGCTTCCGGTCTCCGTTCCCTTCCTGTGGGAAGAATCTCCGGGGAAGCCGAGGAAGCAACCCACCCTTGGCGCCGGTGCCATCCGGAGTTTGGACCTGCCTCCTAGATTGGTGGTGGCTGCGGAGATCAAATTCGATAAGACGACGCTGTCGCCCACCACAGTTCTCGACGGCCCAGAGCGGTCGTCCCGGGCCATGCCACTCGGCTCCTGCTACTCTTGTTCCTTTGGAGAGGGAAGGACCGTCGTCAACATGGGAGGTAGGAAGAAGGAAGGAGTGGCATGGTTTTGGAGGAGGGGAAGTGCGAGGAAGGTGACGAGGGAGGGAAACAGCTGGGAGATGAGCTTGGAAGGGCTGACAGAGAAGGGTATCGCTTGCTCCTCTATGCCTTCTTCTTCTTCTTCTTTTTCTTCTTCTTGCAAGCTTGGTGGAGACTATGAGAATGAGGTTGTAGAGGAGGGGAAGGTGAGGATCACAAGGCTGAGGAGGAACAGAAGTATTGCAAGTACATCCACCTCTCATCTCTGGGTGAGTCTTTCACTCCTAAAACCCAAGTTTCCAACTCTTCTGTCAACCAATCTATCCTCCATGTCCATTTGTTTGCTTAGTTACAACAAGTAAGATTAGCCTGGATGCATGAATTATTCGATAAAGAGAAGATGTGGTGTTCTTTCGTTTCTAGTTTGTCGGGTCTTCATGTGGACTGTCATGCATGGTGAGAGCGTTTGATGCGATCCTTTCCCTATGGCTACAGGGAAGCATTTATAGCAGCCTGAAGAAGGTGTTGCCGATGGCAGGGAGAAGGGAGCGCAAGGTTTGAAGTTCTCAAAACAACTGACGACAATCCTCGATGTACCAGTCGATCTTTGTGGGAGGCATTCTGCGGTGTTCTTCAACCTTCATATATCTGTTCTATATAAGGCTTTTGTATATGCATATGATCACTATGCACTGAAGGAATTGTATCAGTTTTCAGTAAATATGGCAACATCTTTCTTTCTTTCACTCAAACAAACAATGAAAACCCCATCAGAAGAGAGAGAGAGAGAGAGAGAGAGAGAGAGGACGGAGGTTTTATGACTCACTCTACAATCAGATGGCCAATTAACACATTACCTGCGTTCCAGGGAATAAATAGTGGCCGACCATATCATTATGATTCCATTAATGGTGAAGAAGGAGAATTGTAAATGCAATTTTCTATCTAAATAGTATACCATTGTTCAAATTTAATGGAGATTATTTATAGCGGTCATTCATACTAATTATTAGTATGATTGACATCCGCAATCTACCATACTTCATGTAATCACTAAAAAACAATACAAATATAATTTTACTAAGTACAACCCTTTAATTATCAATCAAGTAATAGTTGTGAAAATGCAAAAGGAAAACTGCAATTTGGGATGTCATGATGCTTGTGAGGAATCTCAAATCAAGTGTATTATGATAAACTATATTCACATTCACAGGCCCGAGATTTGATGGGCACACCATTTCTCCAGCACAAAAGATGCAAAAAGAGTACATAACCAAGAGGTTGACAGTGATCATTAGAACTGCTGCGACAATCTCCTCCTCTTGTAATTAGCCTTGAAGCAAGCCTGCCTCAGTTTCTTCGTTCTCTCGGTCAATTGCATCTCAGGGTTCTCCTCCATCAGCCTCTTGTGGTCCTCCAATGTCTCCAACTCTTTCCTCATGCTCTCCTCGCAGACACCCTTCCCCAACTCCTGCAGAACAATACGCGCAGCAAATACATTTATGCATCCGAAATGATTATGCTTATTCATGCGATCATTAATCGACAAGCAGCCATTGGGAGCTTCTGCATGCATCATGGCTGTTCTAATCACTTGATGGGGAAAAGAAGGCGCACCTGCACGTTATGGATCAGAGACTTCAAGCTCTTCATCTTCCTGTGAGGCCATCGGGCGATCCCGAGCTCCCTGCACCTCTTCTTCAGCACCGTCAACCCCACGTTCATCTCCTTGGCGGCCTTCGTTATTGGCATGTAGAAGTAGTTCTTGATCTCGTCGAAGCCCACATCGTTCAGCCTCGACGTCCGTCCGTCAACTCGCTTCTCCGTCGTTCTCTTTCCGTCCCAACCACTTTCACCGTCGAGGGCTACGATCGGGAAGTCGCAAGCGTTAAGAGGCAGGGGATCAAGTAGAAGGTCTTCGTTGTTGCTGGTCGAGACGCAGTCGTGCGGCCATGCAAACGGCTCCAGATCGATATCTTCCAAGTGCACTGGGTTGAGCGGTTCCGGGAGAACATGGTACTGACAAGGAACCGAAGGTAAAGAGGTATCAGAGCTTATGAGGGACGGTGAGAACCCCAAGGTGTCGTCGAACGGGTCGAGACTCTCCGGCAGCGGCACCAGATCGTCCGTCCCACTGCACCAACGAAGCAAAAGGACGATCTTATTGCACGAGTTGCTTTCGTGAGTCACAGGCTTCATGCAGTACATACCTGAGGAGATAAGGGACTTCAGGGAGGGAATCTCCATAGTGAGGCCACTCCGAGAAGAACTTCTCCTCCAGTAACATGAGATTGTTCATGCGGTCGAGATCCATGCCGAAGAATAAAGGGGGCTTCGCAGCGGGTTTGCGATCCATGCAAGCGACCGACAAAAGGAAGCGAATGCCTGCAAAACCTCCCTTTGGGAATGATGATGTGCGCCACAGACGGGCGAATATATACATCCGATACATACGCATGCACGGCGTAAGAACGTGTTTGTTATGCGGCTAATTATTACTGTGGTTATTAGCGCCGTTATCGAGTTCTCTCAACTTCAACGTATCCATGCATGCATGCATGCATTTACGGCCAATTATGATGGTTCCCGAGAGATTAAAGAGATCTCATCCCCCCTTCTCGATTCGTGCCTCTGGTTCTGCGAAGGGGGCATTAATCCTTGGGAAGAACGCTTTGCTATATTTTTTTTTGTAGGCCAAAGGAGGAAAAGATGGACGGAGAGGATAACGTATGCGTGTGTGGGTTTCCAAGTAATTGGGTGACAGAGAGGGCGATAAGGGCGTTTGATGGAAGCCTTTTGGGGGTGAGCTGACTACCCGATCACACCTACGCGTGGGGATTAGGCTGACCAGCTAATGGGGACGTTCGCCGTCAGCGTTTGAGGTCGAAGACAAGCATCGAGAGTTCTTCTTTGTCATCCTCGGTTGATTTGGAACAAACCAACAGATTCTATGATGCTTGGAAGAATACGAATCACCTGCTTAGATATAATCTTATTTTTTGGTGTTATAATTAGTTGACAAGCATCTTAAAGGTAATTAGCTGATGTTTGCTATGATTTAGCAGTGACAATGATACATAAACCGGACCGTGTGGGATTAATATTAATCCTACGTTTTGTTTGAGAAACATGATCTAACGCCATTGGGAGGTGATAGTAATTCAGACCTGTCGACTCACATGGTCTCTAGATGATCGTTTAGGTATGTTCCCCCTTAGTCGATCTTTGTGGACGATAATTCGTAGAAGATCATTTAGGTCTATCGTCTTTATGGACAAAACACCAAAAGGAGGTCGTTACGATAGTTACACACAATCCCCTTGATCCACCTGGTATAAAAATCGAACCTTCATACTTGTCAAGGAGTTGAACCTTTTTCAAAAACCTTTCACATTCTGCATAACCCCGAAAAAAGAGCTAACTTGTACGTCAGAGAAATCAGGTTAGGAAACTCCCTCTGATGCTAACCTTTGTACAAGAACCCATAGAGGGGATCAAAATTCACCTCGGATCCTCAGAAGCCATATAGAAGACTCTCTCGGAGCCATCTTGGGCACCTTAGTGCTGCGCAACAACTGCTCGAGACTATCGCGAGGGTTTTTCGGACAAACTCATGCCTTCAAGACAAGACCAAATCATGCGGACTGACGATCGATCGAGCAAAAACAAAGAGGTATTATAATAAAAAAAACTAATGTTTTTTTCTTTTCTTTTCTTTTGGTCGCCAACTCATGCTGATTTGAAATAAAAATTTTGGGAATCATATTCGGGGAAAAAAAAGCTGTGCATGATTTGGGACACTTTGCACCGTTTGATGTACTTATAAGCATGCATAGATATATCAAATGATAATTGATCTAACGAATGGTTGCAAGTTAATATAGGTGGAGCGATCAATGCACACAAAAAGAAGCATCGATGTTTAGGTCTTTGCTTTAAATGACTTGACAATTGCACCGTCCACAATACTGATAACATTATGCAACATGACTTTCCTATTAAAGATTAAAAAAAAAAGCCTAGACAAATTATCAAGATAAATTTCTATTACAAGACAAACTTTTGAACTTTACTAGCCTACATTTCTTTTTCTCGATAAATGAGAACATTGTTCGAGCTATCATGCTAATGTATACATCCGGTATTAACTAAGATGCAATATAATTGTTAAATTTGGACTACTGTATTCATCCAATCCAATTATGTATGGTCTATGCAAATCTTACACAGGAAGATAATTATCATAATTCCAAACTCAGATATCAAGATTGTTATCACATCTTATATTTTCTCTTTTCACGTCATCATAATATTTTTTCACATGTGTATCAAGAACTAAATAAATGAATATCATTTTATTAATATTTATAAATTATAATTATTTATTATAATTTATTTATTTATCAAAATATAAATAAAAAATAATCATAGACTTTCTTGAGAAACATAGTGATATCAATTTAAAAATAAATCCAATAAGCTCTAGTACTGTCGAGAGACTGTTCTGAGAATAAAAATTAAAACAAAATTTTTTCATCAACGGTAAGTAGAAATCACTATAAGTCAACTATAAAATAAATACATATTTAAAAGTTAATCATCTTGTTGACGTATATCAAATATCTGAATGAACACTCATTCAATAATAAATAAAAAAATTTATTTTGCGGGATGAGTTTGTGTTTTCGTAAGACTAAATAGAAAGAAACTCATATCATCACCAACATTCCTATAACTAAATTGTAGAAAGATTATATTGGATTCTTCATATATTTGGAGCTAAAAAATATTGCTTAAAGATTAATATGAATTGAAGAGAAAAATGTTGCTTAAAATAACCGAGCACAGCAAGTAAAGTCGAGTCCTCCTAATATTAGTATAAATTAAAGAGAAAATTATGGCTTAAAATATTTATTATTGTATGAATATTTTTCTCGTAATTCAATAGAAGCTTGTGTTGTACAGTATAACTTTCTCTTTAATTTTTTTTTCTCACATATATAATTTTATTGACTCGAGTATCAAAATATTTTTTGTCAGGCATACCCACAATATTATATTTATGAGCCATATTTGGTTTTCAAATACAAACATATTTTAGAAATTTGGTAGGTTTGCGCAACTCAATTAGATGAATCAATAAATCATGTATAATACTAATAGATTGATGTCAAAAGAAAGAGCCCAAAGAAATTATCACAAGAGATACAAAATTAAAATATTTTTCTTTGAGAATACACCATTAAGAAAACTCTTTTCTCGACATTTCAGGATAATTGATCATGGGACCTCAGCCTCAAGGACTCCAACACAAACTCAACATCTATCATACCATCGGCATATATAGATGGATTTTTCTTGGGTATGTATCACCACCCACATTATATAGGATTAGGCGTGATTCTAATGCTTACAGTGCTCGAGTTCTTATGCCTCGCAGTCAAAGACACTGATCGTGATTTCGCTACGACGTCTACATATATGCCGATTTGGGTTGCATGCTTCGAGATTCGTGCTGCGACAGATTAAGCGACGTCTTGGTCTCCATGTCGTCAATTCACTTATTGCAATTGCTTGATAATTAATTAAGAGAAGGCACAGACGATTAGACCTACGACGCGGAATGAGCTAAACCATTAGAGTACAAATGGCATTATTAGCAATTTTGAAAAGGATAATTAGTCACTAAGCCAAATTAATAATAATGTTTTACTAGTGACAATATATCTTGACATCATCTTACATGAATTTTTTTTCTTATTTTATCATCTATAGAAATAATAATTAATAATTATCTATGTTTATGTAAATAAAAAGTTACTGAGCAATGCTACCTCCAATTACATGGCGCCTACAATTTGGGCTTGCTCCGAGATGCGTGCAACGCCAGATTAACGGAGATCATCTCCTCCGAACGTCCATTATATATATAGGTAGAATAAAAGCGTGTCACACAAGTTTTCGTGTTGCGTGGCCTTCACGCGATCCTTTTTGAGGACCGAACAAAGGCTGCTCGAAGGAAAGGAGCAGAAACTAGAAGGGTCGAGGAGCAGGGTTAGGGTTTCGATCGACGGTCGCGAAGGATGCCGAAGAACAAGGGTAAGGGAGGGAAGAACCGCAAGCGCGGTAAGAACGAGGCCGACGACGAGAAGCGCGAGCTCGTCTTCAAGGAGGACGGCCAGGAGTACGCCCAGGTCCTTCGGATGCTCGGCAACGGCCGCTGCGAGGCCATGTGCATCGACGGCAGCAAGCGGCTCTGCCACATCCGCGGTAAGATGCACAAGAAGGTCTGGATCGCCGCCGGCGACATCATCCTCGTCGGCCTCCGCGACTACCAGGACGACAAGGCCGACGTCATATTCAAGTACATGCCCGACGAGGCCCGTCTCCTCAAGGCCTACGGGGAGCTCCCCGAGAACACCCGCCTCAACGAAGGCATCGGAGGACTCGATGAAGAGGAGGAGGGCGCCGCTGATGACTACATCGAGTTCGAGGACGAGGACATCGACAAGATCTAACCGGTGGAAGGATCGAATAAGGTCTGGCTTCCCTTTCCTTCTATCTATGTCTTGAATTTGATGTCGATTCCGTTTCTTGCAAGTCCGCTGCTGGAGTTTGGGTATAATATAGAAATAAGTACACAGATGCTTGGATGGTCTTAAAATCTTATGATGATTACTGGTGGTGTAAAAGAGACTGTGTCTATCTGATCATGATGATGCTTTTGTCGCACTGTGCTATCATAACAATTAATTTAGTATCCTTGAGGATTCTTGGTATGCAGATTTCAATACTTTTGATTTCAATCCAACAATAACTTGAAATGGTTCTTATCTTCATCTAGGTCGAAACAGAAGTTTTGTGGTCATAGGCATGTCTCCTTTTCAGGTCTTCAGTGAAATTCTAGAGAATTTTTACAAAGGATTGTCCTCATAAACCACAAGAAGCCTTAGCTTAAATTTCCATATGTATTTGGAGAGGCATTGGTAAACATTTGTGTGATTACAATCATTTTTGTTGTCTTCATATTAGCAGGTATTCATTATCTCAATGATTTTGTGATAATCTTGTTCGGTTGATATATTTAAGATGATTGTAGATTGCTTGTTTGACCATATGCCTTTCCATGTCTAAGGGCAAAAAGAATGCAACCACATGAGGACTTGTGTCACTGTAGTTCTCGATTTCCCTCTTGTTACCTCTGATAGCCAGAGTGACCTCGATCGTACTGATCCAAGTGTTCTCAAGCACCATTTGGTGGAAATGTGCTTTCTGATCGACCGATGAAGTTTATCGTATTCTTTCTGAAATCATGGCAATGAACAAGTTTGTTTGGACTTGTTATGGCCTTTAAAGTTTAAACTAGATGGTGGGGATTTATTTATCTTTTGCGTGATTCCGTAGTAACCTGTTAGGTTGTTCTGGTGGCTTTGCCATGTCGTTGGGAAGGCCAGCTGGGGGAGTAAGAATAGATAGCGATAGGCATTACTGCAACCTCGAGAAGTTCTCTGTGGAAAGATGAACATCTTAGCCTGCCAAATCATGGTTGGATGAAGCAGCTTTGTCATCTCTTTTTTTCTTGCTGATGTAGCATGTAACTTTGCAATATGAATGGCACAGGCAACTCCGAAGTATGAAGAGGGTGGGTGATCTGGGTAACACGAGGTGTGGCAAAGATAGATTGGGGATCTTTAGAAATTACTGGTGTCATGAACTCATAATACTGTGTTTTTTTATCTGGTGATACTTCATCTGGTGTTAAGAGATTGTCCCCGAGTGGAATGACAATAGGTAGAAGATGATGACTTTGTCTATGATTCATCTTCTTAGCTAGTGAATAAGTGTGACACATGGACTAACGACGACCCGCCTGCATTCATAATGATGCAGCAGATTGCCCTCTTTCTTTAGGCTGAATTTGCTATTCATGGATCAAATACATTTGGAGAACCCTTCTCTGCCACCACATTTGTTAGGAGGAGGCAAATATTTCTGTTGAAATCATACTCTTACAGAACCCTTTTTGCCACAACATTTGCTGGGAGGAAGCAGCATGTTTCAAAGCAAATCTTTTAGTCAAAATGATACTGGAAGTTGGCAGGATGTCTGTGATTATTATGCGGATGTCATTGATAGATTTTTGAAACTTTCTTTTGCATCGGTGGATGTCAGGTAAGTAAAATCTGATGAGGTTTGTCGAATTGTGTTGTTGCCAAGTTTTTCTTGAGTCATAGTTTAATGCTAAGTAGCTTCTCAGTCATGTAGCAAATCTACTGTCAATATTGTTTGATATCATCCCGATGTTTGTCTTTTTAATTTTTTATTAGCAATACCAATCAATATTGGTTGGCATAGTTTGATGGCCGGTACCTAAAACTTTCAGCAGCTTTATTGGAAACACTAAAATCATTCCTCTGCTCTTGCTATGCAACATCTGAATTTATTTGCTTCTCCATTGATGTTAACATATTAATTGTTTTAATGTGTTCCTCTAGAATAGGGAAAATTAAACAAGTCATATAGGGTAAGTGTGATAGAGGGCCGCTATAATATGGTGTTCATTAGATCCTCAATAGGACAGTTAAGGTGCTTGAAGCCTAATCATAATAGCCTTGGGACCGTTATGTATTCCCTATTCCGTAAGTTTTGTGATTCCTGCAGCAGGGATCTGTTGGTTGCGGCTACGATGTCTTTTACAAATGGAAAGTGGTGGAGGGTTTTGATCTGATTTGATTAATTAGTTTATAATTTTAATATATATAAGTTTATAATTTTAAATAATTTAATATATATATATATATATTTTTTAAATGAATCGATTCAGTTAATCGAACGGAATCATAATCTTGTTCCAATTGAACGAACGACATGATAATATTTTTTATAGTCAGAATCATTGGTGAATGAATCATTGATGAGATATAAATAATTCAATTCAAATTTGATTTGGTTTGATTCAATTTTCGATTTGATTTGAACATCGGAAAGGGGGATGGGTTTGCTGCTACAAGTCACTACCTATGGAGCATTTTCTTTCCCTTGGTAATGATGCGGTAAACTCACCTTATAAAAGAGTTTGCGAGGTGGCCTCGGTTTCAGCGTTCATCTCTCTCATAAATCCTTCATTGCATTGTTTTGGGTGCCATTTGTGCGAACGAGGAACTCGATGAATCGTTGCCGGATGTAGTTAGTGTTAACTCGTCATCAATATTATCATATATGGAGATTGAATACCAGTAGAATTCACAATATCAACCTATGTATAAGCTAAATTCCGATGTATGTAGTACGACTCGGACTAACTCGTCAATTTGGCGAGCCGGATGGTCGACTCCAAGGACGAATCAACGATACATGTTGTAGGAAAACATTGTCTGATAAAATGCTTAGATCTGATGTGTCTTGATCTGTGCTCCCGGTGATTGATCAAGTGGAAAACACCGGAAGCGAAAAAAATTAGCAGCTGCTGATACATTGATTATTGTCGAACCCGAGTTCTACATATTCTGACCGACACAGCTACTTTTCCATGACCTTCGGAAAACAATAATATTAGTAATATTTTTTGAAGCCTCTTTCTGTTGTTTATGCTCTTAGAGAAGGTAATGGTATCCGCAAACCGGCTGAACCAAAAGACCGATCTTGTGTGGGGTAGGAACAGTGTAGTTTACGGTATCAGGCAATCGTTATCTTGTTATTGGAAAAGAGAAAAACAAGGAGCGGCTGCGTATAACGTGGTCGACGAGATCGACTTCCGCAGGACGTAACCACGATTAAACAGCAGCATCACATGGAACATGTGCTTCTCGTTTCATTGTAAACACGAAAACAGGGGGAAGAAAATTACACCTTCTCCAACCACTAAACAGCAATGATCAAACGTAGTTGCACCGTCGAGAAGAATGATGTGCAATCATTGGTAGCAGCAAACGGTGCGCGGTCTCATCTCATCGATGCGCGGTGACGAGCGACTCGATGAACCGCAACCCGTCGAATCTCGGAGTCGATCCATCTTCCTGCTTCTGCTTCTGCTTCTCCTGAGACGACGACTCTCGGCCCTGCTCCATGGTGTCGGACGAGAGGAGCGTGGTGAGAAGCCGAACACAGCATCCTTGGTTACTCGTTATAGCTGATGTGGACGGACGCCCACTTACCTGGTTTGGAGCTTGGAGTTTGGGATCCGAGAGCGAGCCGGACACCGCAGTCGAGTACGAGGCGGCCGCCATGATCGCCGTAGAAGCGACCGTGACGATGCCGGTTGCCTTCATGATGATGGTAGCGGCAGATCTCTCTCTCTCTTCTCTCCCTCTTTGGTCCTCTCTTGTTCTCCTGGTGGTGGTATAGGCGAATGGGTATATATCGATACACAAATTTATAATCCTAACCCGACACAGCAAAAGCATGTGTTTGGAAGGCGATGAGAGCTGGCATCAGAACGCGTGTATGGTGGCCAACGCGACTACGTTGGCACACCGATCGTCCCACCCGATGAACATCAATCATTGTGCATATGTCCGTCCTAAATTTACCCTCGTCTTAAGAACACGTATGGAGACTGCCTCAAAATATTGACTCTACTCGGTAACATTGGACAAGCTTTTTTGTTCCCCAAGTAAAGCTTTCTTCGTGCCACCACCTCTGATGTGGGAGAGGGATTGATGGCCAAGGAATCGTATATGACTCTATATGACTAGGCATAATAATTTAGATGAGTGTAATCTCTCGTTCAAAGATGCGATGATGTGAGGCCTCATTGGACTATTACTGGATTTGATTTTGGGTTATGTTGTATCTTAACAAAGATGCACAGGTTACTTAGAAAGACCTATAAGTGTTTGATGATGGATTAACTATTTCTATTGTTAACTATGATTTATTTAAGCATTTTTGAATCAACAGTTTACACTCAACAATTAACTTATGGAAGGTTGAGCCCATGATAATTAAGTGACATTGCCCATTAATCGTAAGAAAACAAAACAAGCACAATAAATGTATCACTCCTCCTAGAATATCCATAATGGTACACTCGGCTGATGACATACAACTCCCTACAAGTAGGAAAGAGGAAGAACAAGAATTAATTTCAGGAGTCGGGAAAAAACAGTTACTAATTTTGATGCCACTTACTTTTGAACTTACAGGAAGGAACATTAGCTAGCTAAAGTGTGAAGGTATAGTTGTCATAAAAGTTAGTAAAAAAAGAAGACACACAGGAAACATTTTAGAACAGAATATAGCGCTATCCGCAGATGCCAAAAACAGTGAGAGAAAAAGTTTAGTGTCATTGACAAAAATAAACAGAGGAACATCTGAATCTTGTTCTTCATAGAAGGCAAGAATGTTGTGTTAAGAGTTATCTAGTTGCTTATGTTGATGCCTCTTGCTTTTTGAACTACCCTCGTGAAGCTTTATGTATAGTTGTAATAAAAGTTCAAAGAAGAGAAGACAGACAAAACCCAGTTTTGAAGAACCACAACAGGCATAGCATACATTGTTAGACTATAGAATGACAGAAGCATAATATCGTGTTCAAGAACAAGTAATAGTCATAAATCAATCATGTTCCTCATAGAAGGTAGTAGTGTCGTCTTGTGAAACTATCCTTGGTAAAGATCGGCAGCATTAGTCTCACACTTGTTAAAATGTTCGGGTTGGACGCTTGCTTATGTTGATGCCTCTTGCCTTTGAACTACAGGCAAGAACATTAGCTAGCTTCGCAACGTGTCTTTGTAATACAAGTCAGTGAAAGAGAAGACTGCGTCGAAGAACCACAACAGGCATAGCAAACATTATAGATACCGAATCATAAAGAGATTCATTAATCCTTTTTTTTCTCCAAAATTAGAAGAAATTTTCATTATATCAAATGGCATATATGATGCTCACACGTGGTGGATTCGAATCTGAGACCTATCACTTGTGCAATAATGCACCGACCAAGCCTGATGTCTCAACAGAGACGAGATTCGTTATTCCCAACCCTACTTCATTTTGATTGTAATTTGAACAAAAAGATCACAGTAAACTTTTGGTAAAAGTCACAGGTGGCTTAATGATGAAGAGAAACACTATTCGTTCGTAATAACATTCATTCATGTTCATCATAGAAGGCAGAGTGATTATTAAACTAAAGATTTTGGTACATGTACAGAATGCAGCAATGTGTGTGCATGTATATAACATAAGTATGCAGAAAAATTCTAAGGTAGGCAAACTATGCTATCCATATCTATCAAAACATTCATCAAAAGCAAAATTTGATTTTGATGCTCAAATTTGCAAGATGAAGTTTCAGTGCATTATTCCAAACACCAAGACTTGGGAGGGAGGATCACCAAATCCCATCATCACTGACTGATAAATAAGCACAAGAGATTCTTGTTTCATGATTAACTGATAGATAAACAGTACATGTAAATCTAAGAAAAGAGAACTCCAAACTGAAGAGCAAGGATCAGAATCAATTACCTCCTCCCGTTTCCTATCAAGAAGTAATAGCAGCGGAATGATCATCGAATCTGCCTCTAAGAAGCTTCTCGACGTACTTGCCGAGTATATCTACCTCCAAGTTCACCTTATCCCCGACCTTCTTCAGCGGGATCACCACCTTCTGCTGTGTGTAGGCCACCAACATGAAGTCGAAGCACCCCTCCTCCTCGTACACCTTCACCACCGTCAGGCTCGTCCCGTCCACCGCGATGAACCCCTTGGGCACGACGTAGCGCAGCAGCTCCGGCGTGGCCCGCACTTTCACCCACAGCGAGTCCCCCTCGGGCACGAAGGACGCGATCTCGCCGGTGCCGTCGACGTGGCCCTGCACGATGTGGCCGCCCATCCGCGATATCGGCTGCAGGGAGCGCTCGAGGTTGACGGGGGACCCGAGGCCGACCTCACCGAGGGCGGTCCGGCGGAGGGTCTCCGGCGAGAGGCCGACGGTGAAGGTGGAGGCGCCGGGGTCGAAGTGGGACACGGTGAGGCAGGTGCCGTTGACGGCGATACTGTCACCGAGCTGGACGCCTTCGAGGACGGTACTCGCGGCGATGCGCATCTCGATGCCGCCGTCATCGTCCCCGGAGGGGCCGAGGCGCTCGACGTGGCCCATCTCCTCCACGATGCCGGTGAAGAGGCACGTGAAGGCGCTAGATCTAGGGGCCCGGCTCTTGAGGGGCTTGGAGCGAAGGGATCGGGGAAGGAGGAGGGGTTTGAGAAAGATGGACGACGACGAGGGTTTAAGAGAGAGCGAGTAGGAGACGGAGAAGTAGCAATTGCAAGCGCTCGTCGGGGGAGGACGAAGAAGAGAGGGTTCGAGCCTGGCGAGGGGAAGATGGAGGCGGGCGGAGGCAGACGACGCCGCCATTGTTCTGTTCGACGATTCGAGGGCAGCAAAATGCAAGGCGGCGAAAATTGGGGACGGCGATAGGGTCCGTTTGCTCTGCTGGAGACTTGTGACCAACGAAATCGATGTGCAAGCGTCCTGCACAATAATGGAATATAAAACCGCCTCGATCACCGTCCGTCGAGGTCCACAACAACAAACCTGAGATATCAGGCGGTTGAAATTTAAGCAGATATAATGATGGACGGTGATGGAGGGTAGTTTATAATTCTCTTATATATATATATATATACACACCAAATATTATGAAAGTCTTATTATTTCTACCCATATTGATTATTGATGGGATTGGTATATATCAATTTATATTAACATTTTATGGTAATATTGATATGTATTGGTTGTTTTGAAGGCGAAAAAGATTAAAATAAATGATAAAAAAGAAAATAGGAGGAAGATGAGGAAGAAGGTTAAAAGGCATGAAAACGATGATAAAATAGTAGAATTGGAGTATAAAATATACATATATGGGTGATGACGAATTGGAGTATAAAATCGTAAAGTATAATTTATTTTTATAAAGATGAAATTATCTATGATTTTTGTCTCGTCAACCGTCATCCTCTCCTCTTTTGGTTCTCTTTTTCTTTTATCATCTTCGCCTGTTTTTTTTATAATACACAAAAAGAGTAAAGATAGAAATAATAGAGTAAACATGATGATTAATAATACAAAAATTTTGAATGATAATTTGTTTCATCTATGAAATTATTCAACAAAATCAATTTAAAAAATTAATATATTTAACTTCAATGAAGTTAGTTTAGTTTATCTAAATCATACGACACACTTATGTGTTCATTCGCAAAATATCAATATCTTCAAAATCTAAAATATATAAAAAATAAAAAATTTAAAAAATATATTTAATTTAAAATCTTACGATTACATTTATTTTAGCAAACTTACAATGCACCTTACAATCTTTGAACAATCACAAAAAAAATTTAAGATATTACATCACGATCAAGTCTCTCTCTCTCTCTCTCTCTATATATATATATATATATATATATATATATATATATATATATATA